TTAATTCCTATTTTTGTCTATTTTTCAAACCTGCTTTAAAAGTTGTCACTTTTGTACAAAAATATTAATGACAACTTTTTGATTTACAATACTTTCATCGCTCATCTTATATGAAACGAGGTTCAGCATTTAATTGGTACATTTAATAAAACTGTCACCACTGCTCGCATTTAATTTCATCTTTTTTGGAGCACAGTGCAATCTCTTCGCTAAGGAAAAGCAGCTCAATGATTATGTCACTTCCTAACGATAATAAACTTTCTTACATCAAAGCTAGTGCTGAACTTCATTTTTCAGATGTCACAGTTTTGAAAAATAAAAAGAAAATAACATACACTTCAAGGTAATAAGTTGAATTGCGCATTAACCACTCTTTTAAAGCTGTGGTTCATGCTTATAAAGTACACTACATTTCAACCAAATAATTTGTACAACACAAACCTACAAAATATTTCACAGAAAGTAGAAAATAAACAATGATGTTGCAAACATTAAATAACAAAAACTTTCTATTTCATCAGTTCATATACAGAATACTAATTTAAACACTAACTTGCACATGTATTCAAACGAGAAAGCATTTATTTGTCTACTAGTTGGTTTTTAATTCAAACATTCTATTGACCAACCATACATAAATGCTTTCTCACCATTAAAAAATGAATAATGATTTATGCAACCTGCATTCTTGACCATTATTTCTGTCTTTTCTTCCAGATTTACTTCACTGACTAAGCTTCATTAGCTCCATGATTTTCATTTTGAGTGTTGATCGAGGAGAAATACTGTAACACATTCTTGAGCCGTTGTGTAACTTTCTTTTCCATACTTTAGATATGTGCGTGGACTGCAAGTAAAAAGAGTGATCAAAGATTTCGCATAATAAATTTTTTGCTTTACAAATTGTTTGCCGAAAACAGCACAATTCTTTTTTTCAAACATAAATAACAATGCCACAAAATACTGTAATGAATTTCTGACCTCATGTTCCTCCTGTAATCATTCACAATAAGCATATGTTGTAGTAAACGTTTCAAACTCGTTTCCCTCATTTCAATTCGGCTGACTTGTGCCCACTTCAACTGTTTCATCCCTCTTGCTGCTATTGTTTTCAAGTTTTCCAGCAGCAGTAAATACTTGCAGCTTCCAGATGCTATAATGTAGCAATAATGACCAAAATGATAATCATATGAAACAAGAGATCACTTGAAAAGAGCGGCTTATGTTTCTAATGCTCAATTAATCTAAAACTTACAGTTAGTACGGCTTCACATGTTGCCAGCACTAAATGCTTGTTGTTGCTACGTTTCATACATTTCAAAGCCGCACTCACTGCCCCACACTTCTACTGCCGTAATTCAATTTCATACATTCACGACAGTTCATTTTGAGTGGATATATTTTTAATCTAAAAAAAATATATTCTAAATCATTTAAAAACTATATAAACCTGCTATGCTATAATGTTTAAAGCTGTTTAATCAAATTGAGTTATTTAACAGAAATGAACCAAACTAAGCTAAAAATATGTTCTCAGTCATTTTATAGCTATAATTTTTCAAAGTTACATCACGAAAATGGATAAATAAATATACAATCTATACAAAAAAACTAGACCTTTTTGGAATGGAAGCGATGGTATGGAGAAGTGATTTCTAGAAAGTTCTATGACATGGGTACTTTGTATAACTATTTATGATGTAGGAATGATGTGTAATATTTCATAGTCTAATTGCATCTTCAAGTTACGCAATCAATCTAAAACTATGTGGTGTAGTGTAGATCAAGTATTTTTCGCACCATCTCCCAAATGCCGTTATCAAATCAAGATGTAGTGCTTTCTTCATTATGCAAAGTATGGCGTCTAAGTAAGTGCATCCCTTCACCCCTTGCTTTCTGGTGTTTAGAAACAAAAAATTTATCAAGCCTGCTTTATTTAATATTCATTTTCTAATTAAATAAATATAGGGCAATTTTTTTGCTAATTTTTCTGTAGTTTGTTAGGGGAATTAATTGTTAATACATGTCATTGTCATTTTATTTAAAAATATTTGTTAATCGTAATATTGTGATCTTTATTGTTGTTTACTCTGCTCTTGCATTTGCTGTGAATAAAATTTGAAATAATCGCTGTGTTTGCTTCGTACATCTAATGATAACCAAAAGAACAATAGTACATATACAAAATAAATTATTATAATGCAATGGTTTTTTTTTTTGCTTAAAACGACAAGATTGCGCAAATGTTTGACCCAATACATCTCATCATATTCCGCAAGCAATGAAATCTGTTACAATAAAAAAGGAGGGAAGTGTCCACTTGCAACCACAGTAGTGAACACTTTTAGGTGGAAATATTTGTTAATAACGAAGTTAAATGTCGGAAAAATAAATGAGTTTCAGCATAAGTTGGAATTTTATTAGGATTGGTTATATTTGCTTCTTCAAACGAGATTCGTGTCAATCCTATGCATGATTTAAAGTATATTTTCTCTGAAACTTATTGCTTTTGGTATTGCGCTGAACATAAACAGTACGTATTTTGAATTCAATTTTTAATCATTTGTTCTGGAAAAGGCAAATTCAGTGAGTGCTATTCGTACAAAAATAAAATTCAGACGACTGTTTGTTTCTCTTCGACATTAATTAATCGAAAGTCCAAACAAGATTTGTTAACACGCAGATAACATTTATATATAATTATTTGCATGTATGCATTCGAATTTAGGGACGAGTTCAATTGTTTTCACCTACCAGTAACTTTTGTAGTATTCTTACTTCATTCAGTTTTTATCTCTGCTATTTTTTATCAATTTCAAAAATATATTATTTAAATGTTCTGCACGAGAACAACCACATAATAAAAAGAGTGTACATTCTGTTCCTATAATACTAAAATACTAACAATTATGAATCGTAATTTATTCTATACACTTTTTTCACCAATATTAACAAGCTTTGTCATCAGTAATGATATCATTAATATTTTCTGTAACTAATGAGATATACAAAATAGTACTGAATATGAATCGTTCCCAACATAAATATCTCATAATATGAATGCATAATGATTATGCACAACAACAATATGCAACAGAATAAGTGATTAATTCCATCTCTACTTACAACTATACTTTTGTTGACTATTTGTGCAAAAAAAATCTTAAGAAATAAAGTTATCGTAAAATGTTGATAAAATATTAAGATTTTAAACAACCGAAAATATGACCAATTAACAAAGCTGACCAACCAACAACCATTTCTATGAAAGTGATCTCTTTCACTTCTGTACCACATTCATGAGTTATGTTCCTTGCTTTACATTGTGCGAGAAGTCCCCTATCAACTTTCTTGTTTTTAATCACCACAATGCATTTACTGCGCTCTATCAAAGGAAAGCAAAAGTTCGGCTTCGATATAGCTCTGTTAATTTCACAAAATTCGGAAAATTGTTGCAAACAGCAAATCGAGTGTGAAGATCATTCACTATTCAAAGCATTGACTACTTCATACACTTGACGCATTCTGTAGTCTTTAGAAAGCACTGAGGGACCTAATAAATCACTAACTCACTAAACTGTTATTAATCTAAATTCCTGATTTATTTGATTGTAATCAGTTCTTTGCTTAGTCGACGAACACGCTGATATTTATTTCATTTGTGATTAAGACTGTATGTGATGAACAGATTATCTTACGTGAACTCTCTAAACTGCTATCTCTGATAAATTTAGTATGATAGTCCAGAGGATGTACCTGACGTGTTGAGTTTAGTACATTCTCTAAGCTAATGACTGCAGAATAATGCTCATAAATAGATATGTCTGATTTCATTTCAATGCCAGATTTATCCTCAAATTTGTCTGTTTCATTCTCAGAGATACTTGGCACATTCCCGAAACGATTTCCTTTGCATATTTCAATACTTTCCTTGCATAATTGGGTGCATTTTTCAAACGTTTACGTGGATTTCTTTTTCTCCACACTTTTTTCCAGAACTATTGATGAAATATTGATAATGGCAAAGGGAGGAAATTAGTTCGTCTCCCACTATTTCATGGAAAACCGCCACTTTTTAGGCCACCCTACTGCGCGCGTATTTTTCCAATAACACTGACTACTGCTTACAAGAGGAGCATTAATTAAGTTATCATTTTACGGTTTATCAAATGTTTACGCCATGCAATCTCAAATCCCAACTATTGTACGCCAATTGTATATGCGCATGTAGTGTTGGTTATTTTTGCTTTAACGCTGTGGACGTGTGCGTGTATTCATATTGCCATGCTTAACGGTGTGCAGTGATTACAGATATTCTGCAATTGTAAGCTAAAGCGCTAATTTGCATCGTTCCTTTCTTTATATTACTGTCTCAATAGGATCGTTTAGTAAGTATTAGCTAGCTAAATGATGCATATTTTTTTAATTCTGATATAAAATTGAAGCGCAGTACAATTTACTTCTGTTCATTATAGAATGGTGTAATTTTTTCAATATATCGAAAACCAAAGTTCTAATTAAACTACCTTTCAAACATTCCCAAGTGAATGAACGAAGATTTTTCAGTCCATTCAATAAATAAACAGAAGGAAATCCATTTTCAGCAAAATCAATTTTTAAAAATTAATTTGCGTGCTGAATCCTATACTTCGGAAGTATAAAAATATATTTGAACGTTTGGGAGGAAAGGTAAAGGATTTATTGTAGTCGAACTAATTAGTAATCATTAAAATGCATTGACCTAGTTAAACTCTAATAGATTCAATTTTTTTTCACACAAGCCTTATTTATTTGATGTGAGTTTAAAATGTATTTTTATAGTTTACGTTTTATTGCCGAGTTAGCAACAGTAGGAATCGTAGTTCATTTTACTAGCGTATCTTAGATAAAAATTCGTTTCAGAAATGTTTCTAGCGTTGATTTTCGCCCTCACTTTTTTTATTTTGTTAAAATTTATCAAACGATTCACACGTGATACCCCTGGAAATTGTTTCCTGAAAATGATCTGCACTGGCAAATCTCGTGATGTTTCATTATCACCTAAGGAGGTGCGTGATATCCTGCGCATTAAGTTTGTTTCCGCTTGTTATAATTCATTTGTTAGAATTGACTTGTGAGCATATTGCTGCTAAAGCTCAGGTTCATATTATTAGGTTTGCCAAAAGAATATCATAGTACAGTTCGTTAGTTCGAATATAAGCCTTCATGATGACAACTGTAATTGATTTGGGAATCAAACTATCGTTACAACTTTTCTGAATCTTGTAGATTCGATTCTTCGATTGCCCACGAACAGTGGGATGTCATTGTGATTGGTTCAGGTATGTCAGGATTGACAGTGGCTAGAGTACTGACAGCCTCAGGTCGTAAAGTATTGGTATTAGAACAGCATGAACGAGCAGGTGGTGCTTGTCATACATTTGAATTAGACAAATATGAATTTGATGTTGGTTAGTTTCTGAGTTTTATCATAAAGTTTTATATTTTATTAAATTTCACATTATAGTCACTCCTAGATAAATAGTTGATGGTGCTTCCTTGCTTCGATTTGCCTTGCAATTTTCGGACTTAACATTCTAAATCAGTTGCTTGCGATTTCAAAATTATTGATTTAGTTTCTAAAAATTGTAATTAACACCTAACATAATGTATACTGTGAAAAATTAACAAATTTTGCTGATAACATTGATTTGTTTGGTCATTAATGCTTTTTTAAAATATAGTTTCTCTCTGTAATTTTTTCGCTGTTATTTTGTTTTGAAGGATTTTTTGGATTTTAGGTTTACATTTTGTGCAGGATATGTATCCTGGCAAAGAATTATATCATATTTGCTCTGCTCTCTCTGATTCGCAAATTCAGTGGCAAAAAATGGATGATCCGTTTGACCATGTATGGTTCGATTCTTGAAATGTATTAAAAACGGATTAAGTGTTAACTAGATTTTTAGCCAAAAACTTTTTATAAAATTTGTCATTTGAAGATAATCATTGGACAACGATCATATCATCGAAATGTTGGAGATAGCAATAATTTCAGAGATCAGTTGAAATCTTGGTTTCCAAATGAAGTAGAAAATATTGATCATTATTTTAGATATGTTGCTGTGAGTTTCTCTAAATTAAATAAAAAAAAATTTTCATCATTTATGTTTAAATGACGAGAAAATCTTAGTTATTTGGTAATCAATGATTGTTTTTGGAAAACAAAAGATTGTCTACTATTTAAATTATTTTTCGTAGAAAGTAACTTCATTTTCTACGTTCAGTATTATTTGAGTATTTTGATTTATCATCTACTGCATGAATAAGAGACTTTTTTAAAACTCATTTTCTATTTATAATATATTCCGTTATTCGTATATCTCATATTTGTGAGAAATTTACGAAATAAATTTGTTTTTAGAAATGTCTGAATATCAATTTATGGTGGCTGATTGCTGCGAAATTGATGCCACTACCTTTCATTCGTGTCATATCTTATTTCGGCTGCATCAATTTTTTCACCAGTTTATTCACATATTTAGAAATGAAATTGTTGGACGTGATGAATAGTTTCAAATTAAGTGCTGAAGTAAAAACCGTTATCAGTTATTATTTTGTCAATTATGGTCAGTGTTTAAGATGCATGACTAATTTCAATCTTTTCAATTTGAATCCAATTTTCTTGCATATTGCTCAAATTCAGTTTTATATATCTTATTTTACTTTTCTTATTCAACAAGTTTTGCTTAGCGAAATTTTTTGGTGATAAAATTCATTTAACTTCCATTTCTACCTTTGGCTTGAATAGGCGTTCCACCGAATCGTGCATCATTTCTCCAACATCATTTGTTCTATATGGAAAGTGGATACTATCCAATTGGTGGTGCTTCCCGTCTTATGGCTAGTATAGTGAGATCAATAAATAAATTTGGTGGAAAAGTAGTTGTTCAGGCTGATGTAAAACAAATTATCTTTGCTGACGGCAAAGCTGTTGGTGATTAATTTTAATTTTACGTTTTTGTATAGAAATATTGCTTTATGTGACTGAAAGGTTTTACTAAAAAATATTTTTTAACCTTCGATAACTGGCAATACATGCATCTGCAGAATATTAAAATATCAGTGAGACATTAGTACTTATCAGTCGGCTTAGATGCTGATTGTTCTCTTCTGCAACTTCATCCATTTGCAAATCTTCAGTATTTAGGAGTTGCAGTCAAAAGTGGTTCTTCTGAATATTTTGTTCAAGCTCCACTGATTGTTTCCACAGCATCAATCGTCAAGGTTTTCAATGAATATATACCACGGACTATTGCACAAAAATCAGGTAGATTTTCTGAAATGATTGTGAGTGATTTAAAGATGATCAGTGAATAACGTTTCTTACTAAAATATATTTTCATTTTTATAGCATTGTTTAAAGTCGTTAACCGAATTCAGTCAATGGAATATGCCAAAGTTGGAGTATTCCAAGCATATATTGGCTTGGATCGCACATCAGAAGACCTTTGTTTACCATCCAGTAACTATTTCTGGTCCAGAAACAACGATCCTTATGAATTTGATCGATATTTAAAGTTGGTAATAATCATTTTTGTAATACAAAATAGATAACCACCACTTAATGTAAAATGTTGGTATATGATATCCTTAATAAGTTAACTAAAAATGTGATATCAAAGTATTTATTAATTAGTATCCAAGTATTTATCAGTAAGTTAATTAAAAATGTGCCATGATAGTTAATAGGTCGAAACTGCAAATTTTCTTAATAAAACTTATATCAAAAATGATTTATTATAACGAAGGCCACATAATTTACTTTAGTTTGCCATTGTCATCAGCTTTGGAATACGGATGCCCACCCCAATTATATATTTCTTTTCCTTCAGCAAAAGATCCAACATGGAATGAGCGTCATCCAGGTAAAAGATATAACATTTTTCAATTCAATATTGAAGCGATATGATTGATATAGGTAGGAAGAATTACATATATAGGATTGTGCTCATCATACTTTTACAAACGTGATGTCAGACTGTATTTCAATTTTATTTTTATAAAGTTTTGATCAACGCAGTAAAATTTGAACTGTTGGTTTATATGATATTCGAATGTTTGTTAACAAACAATCAAGACGATGCGGACTAGAACTTATTCTTTTAATAGATACGATTAATTTTAAAATTTGTGTATATGAAGTGTATTAATGGCAAATTTAATATCTGTTTTTATTTTTAGGTGTTTCAACTTGCCAGCTAATTTCATTCATAAGTCCTCGTTTCTTCGAAAACTTCAAAGTTTCTTCTAAAAAAAAAACCAAAAAACGGTCAAATTTAGGGGATTACACTGAACTAAAATCTCAGATTGGTCAGATGCTGGTTGATCAGTTTTTAAAAATATTTCCAAACCTGAAATCACACGTATGTCTTAACTTTCAATGTTGGTAAAATGATTTTAAAGAAAATGAATGGATTTGTATATGCTTAATGGCTTTTCAAGATCTTTTATAAGGCGGCGAAAATTCGGGTCATAAATTATTTGTTTCATTCAAACATCGTTTGAATCTTTTAGAAAACTATTGGTATAAAAAGGCTACTCATTTTCATATTGCATTTAAGATGGCACTCGTTGAATTTTCAACTCCATTAACCCAACAGTATTATATGCAAAATTCACATGGTGAATTTTATTCCTTAACACAAGAAGTTCATCGATTTAGGCTTGAATTCTGGCATGAACTACGATGTAAAACAGATTTACCTGGTTTATACCTTTCAGGTCAAATTATTCCTTTAAATATCTGAAGTTTATTAGATTAATTTAGGAAAGAGCATAATTTTACTTTATGATTAAAATCGGAATTATATTTCCAATTTTGATTCTCTCTCTATTGACTTTTTTCAGATATTTTAATTATCTCTAAAAATTATAGATGAATCTCAGAAACCATACTTTACTGCTATTAAAAACTTCAAATATCTGAATTTATTGTGATGAATAGTGTAATTAATCAGATACATTTAATAACTTTAATCAGATACAATTATGCTCTCTGTAGTCTGCTGTGAAGCACAGTATTTTCAACGATATATGATAAATTATCACGCCCACGGGTACGACAAATATTGTATTGTGGTATTGTTTCTTAGGGGGATTTTATACATTCTATGCAAAGGAAACATGAATTTTGGTCATTCAATTTTTTTAGGACAAGATGTGTTGTTTTGTGGAATTGGAAGTGCAATGCATAGTGGATTGATTACAGCTGGAACTATATTGGGTCGCAATTTAAGAAAAGATTTACAAGAAGCATGCAGAGCTCAAATGCTTTTGATGGATAAACAAAAGTAATGGTTAAAGAACGAGTTCGCAGCTTGTAGTTACTGATAAGTCCGTCGCAATCACTGTGGCCATCAGAGATGATTATCATAAACTTGAAACTTTATCATTTGCACTGTCAAATTACAATGTAAATGCTCAGTCTTTAGTTTTTAAAAATTAGAAGATGAATCTCTTGATTTGCAGATATTCAAAAACTACATATAATTTGATCTGATCATGACAGTTATTACTTACAGTAACTTTTAAAAGCATTCTTTGGTTCGTGACAAAATTTGTTCAAATTGTTTTTTTTTTTTAATACATATGCAAATTGCCTCCTGATAATATTCCCGCTAATGTATGGTTACAAATCTTTTAGAAAGCTTCTATTTGCAAGATTATTGATTAACTGTTTTGTCGTTTCAAGAATTTACAATTCCAGTATTGAAGTTCCTAATTTGTTAGTCTTATATAGTGTCTAGCTCCATCTGCAATACTGCATTTTTCTGCATTGCATGTGTGTTTATTCATGCAAATATTTGTTTCCTTCCAGTTTCATCAAATTTATAGATTGAGCATTTTCTGTTTTTTTTTTTGAAGCCTCATGTATACTATTATTGTAAGTTGTATCATTTGTTGCGAATAATTTAATTCTCAGTACTTCGTCGCTTCGTAGACAGGGTTTTCTTGATTTCTAGAAATATGATTTTACCTCATGTTTCTCATAAGTCATGTATAACTCCTGTTCTGTTTTGTCTGATGGTTGTGGTAGTCAGATTAGTACCTTATTTTCTAATATGCTCGCTATATCTTTTCGAGTTAATAAGTATCAATTTTTACATCTCGCTGTTCAATTTTTTATGGAACAATTGCTTCGCACGTAATAAATTACTAGGAGCTCAGCATAGTTCAGTCAATAAAGAGCTGAAAATACAGGTCGGGAAATTTTTACTAGCAGTAGCATTTGAATGTTAGTATTTTAACTCTATAATGTTACTGGAACGTTTGCATTTTTACTCTGTACTGTTACTGGAAGGAAGAATTAACAAATATTTGGTTGGAAAGCAGTAGGGACATTTTTTAACTAGCATATAGTAGAAGTAAGCATTTTAATCAGTGATAGATTTCTAACAATACTAGAAATGCAGCAAACCGTATTTATAACGAAAACAAAAAAGCAATTATAAGAGTGCTTGAACAATCAACTGCAATTTGCTTCATTTCATTCATTAGCGTTAAGTCCGTTATCCCTAATCAAAAATTTTCCATCCTCTCAGGTATTTGACTGACAGTGCATTTCTACATCACTTTTGTTGCAATACACAATTGGACATCACAAGAATAATCAATCACTTACTTGAGTGATATACTTTGAGTTTTCAACAGAACAGTGAAGACAACATTAGTTGACAAGATTGACTGCTGCTTTACATATATTGCCTTACATATGCTTACGCAACATATATAATTTTAAACTTTATTTAGCAATAAAAACAGAGATGCTGATAACAAAAGTCGGTGCATAAATGTTTGAAAAGTGAGAACTAAAATACAAGTGCACTTTGTGCTAAATAGTTCACATAGGTTTAAAACCCACAAATGAACGAAAAGCACTCACAGTAATCATAAACAACCCACAATTTCTCTTCAATGCATGGCACTTGGTGCTACAACAATTTACATAAATTACAACACACAAATTAACGGAAAAACAATACACATTCCCAGGCACATGGAAGGCAACGGATATATCACACTTTACTGCTTAAGGAAAATAATGTTGAGAGGTACTGAGTTTCCAAATGCTCACTTCTATTACTATATGATATGACATAAAAGCCAAATCAACCGAAAAATTTTGCCTATATACTTTCAAATCACTATTATTTCCGTTGCCAGAACCTTATTTGGATAAAATTCCCTGAAATAATGAAGTAACAATGAGAATCAAATATTTACGATCATAGTTAAAATCTTTACTGCTAAAAATCTTAAAGTTAATTCTAGGTAACAATATCTTAATGAAAATGTATATGCAAGAAAATCACAATAGTTGTCATAACTATGATGAATTTTTGGCATCTCCGCTTTCAAAAAATGCTTTTAAAATGACTGAAAAAAGAGTAACAATTCTTTCTAAACTATCAAAGAGTTATACTTTGAGAAAAGGAAAAGAGATATCCATAATTTTAAAATTGATCAAAAAATGCTTTACACTGCTGCTTTCTTACAAAATATGGAACTTAAAGACATGTCCAACTCTAGTCTTAATAATACAGCTTAGTTGCAGGTAAGCAAAAATAAATAAGATACAAATAAGACAGCATCATGTTGATAAGGAATAAGAATATTAA